AACAGGGTTTCTTTCAAAACCCTCTGAAGTAGGTAAGCTTCTTACCTGGCGAATGGTGGAGCCAGAATTCTACGAATTTAAGTAAATTTCCTTCCTCCTTTGGTCTTTCATAGCATCCATGCTGGAACAAGGTTTAAAAATAATAAGAACATAGCATAACTCAAGAGTTGGAGGGCATTAGAACTGGAGGGGCAGCCCCGGCCCCTCCATTAAACCCACCCAAGTGTGTGTTTGAGTCAAACCACCACTAGACCGGAGGGCATCAGTTTCCAAGAGAAATTAGCTGCTTCCCCCAAACTGAAACATCTATCCCTCTCAGCAAAGCCCCCCAAACAATGGGTGTTTGGAGCAACAGCCATTTCCCTGGCTCAGAGCCATGGTTCTCAAACCTTGGTATAAAGAAGAATAACGTGAGGCCCTTGTTAAAATGTGTCCTTTCCTAAGACAGCCTGATTAAGTGGGTTGAGGGTGGAGCCCCAGATCTTTGAACCAGGCGCTCCCAGTATTTCCCACGCCAGTGGTATGCAAACTTGACGTAACGCACCAAGTTTGCAAAGGTCGTCACTGCCACCATTTATATACCATGGGTCACGCATATAAATGGCTGGCTGGTCAGAGGGGTTTCAAGTAAATAATTTTGCCAACGTTTATCTATTTTGAAAAGGCAAATGACTCCGGGCAGTGTGGTTTAGTTTCATAAATATTGCCACAATTTGATCAATGGCAATATCTTTGGGTCTAGAGACCTTTCTTCCTAGGATCTTTGAATGTTTCATTTAGGCCATTCTTTAAAATGAGATTGATCGGTTCTAATGAAGATGGGTGCTCATGTACAAACTCCTACAAAAAAGAACACAGCAAAATCATACATATGAATTTAGTATTTTGATGTATTCTGCACACCACCCAAACAGTAAACTTAGGGATAGTCTTAGAGATCTTCTAAATTTTTTATTTTAGATGAAGAAACTAGAACTAAAAAAAAAGTGAAGTGTCTTATCCAACAACGCACAAAGACCTACGATTGTCTCCTTAATGAGCTTCTCTCACTACTATATCATGAAGCTCTGTACCCCCTGGTCTGTCTCTTATACTGTAATTCACAGGTGCTGGGGAAGTAACCATGCCTTGACAAGCAGGCTGGATTCCAATTAAAATCACCATCGGTGTCAGTTCCTGAGGCACAAAGTGCTTGAGGGTTGAACAGCTGGCCCCCCAAATAGGCTAAAAGTCAAGAATAAATCGTCTGGGATGAAACCCTTGCTCTAGATAATAAACCTTGTGTGTGACCTACAGGAATATAATAAGTATCCGTTTTTACAGAAGAGACATTTAAGGCTTGGTCTGTATGTCGCTGTAAAGTTTGCAAGATTCAGGTAACAATTCCTGGAGGAAAGGAGAATGTGCCGACCTATTGTGCACATTGACCAGATGACTTGGCCAAGGTTATACAGAGTCAGGTCTGCAGAGAACAGTGATGTCCTGACTCTGTGATGTATGGTTTAGTTCCAGCCACACTGTCTCCCGACTGAATCTTCCCTGTTGATTTACAGTCATAGGTACCAGGAGGCAGAACCAAAAGTCTAAGACTGTAGGACTAATCCAAAATGCCTCAGAATTCAAGGTGAAGTTAAAAGCAACAATTCCTACTAGAAATCTGACCTAAGCTGTATAGGTAGGAAGACACATATATGTAATTATCAACATGTCTTAGTTTGTGCCAATCACATGGGAAACCTGATGCATGTGTTTGTTAAATGGGCCAAGTTCTGAATATGATTACAACCCCTCTGAGACCACAGCGGTAGTTATTTCTTGGATTTTACTTTGGGGAATGGCATTTGAGTGGCTTTGCCTTGCTCAGCCATAAGCAGGGTATGAGCTTAGCGTCCAGGGTAAGGCTTGGCAGTCTAACGTATGGTGATGCGTTGCTCTTTGCACTAAGCAGCAGAGCAGTGACAGAAGGCAATTTGGGGAGATCCCATCACACTTTATTTGGAAAACAGAGTCGTCTCTGATGGAGGTAAGGTTACTGGTCTGGGTTTGCATGTGTCTCTGTAATTTTTACATAGCTTTTGAATTAAAGCAGATAAAAGGCCTGATGGATAACCCAGGTAAATAAAACCTAGGAGACTCAAATAGGCCCCAAACAGGTTTCACTGTTTTGATTAGCTAATTACTTCCACTACTCATCTTGTAGGGAATCCAGAGAAAGGCATTTGAAAAAACAGGAACCTGTTGTTACAAGAACTCCAATTCAGTATTCACAATAGGCTATTGAAAAACAAGGGAGGGAGACATCCCTGCAGACCCAGGGACGTCTTTCAGGCAAAAGGACTGGTCTGGGTGTTCAGGGTCCCTGGACCCCGGGAATCTTTGATTTTATGCCTCATCCCCTTCTGGCACAGTGGCAGAAGCCTCCAGAAAAGCATAGGGTTGGAGTGGAGATGGGGCACCCAGGAAGTCCTGTGTGCCATGTGCCACAGGCCAGGGGAGGTGGGGAGGTCAGCAGGTGTGAGTGCCAGGTCGCCTGCCCCTGCAGCACGGGGAGGGATCATCCCCTACCTTGTTGGGCCCAGCCTAACACAGCCATCTGTTCACCACCAGCTGGTGCCAACAGCCATGTCAGCACAGAACATCTCAAGTGTTCCTCCGAAGCAGCTGAGCCATGAGCTACTTTCCCTTGCCTTCCACTCTTTGCCTTCACTTTCCCCTGCTCAGCCCTCTGTCCTTGAAAGAGAAAAGCAAAACGACTTCATTTTGTGGAGGCTGCAGCTCCTAATAACTCTTAATGATGAAGTGCAAGAGACCATTAAGATCTGCCTCGCTTGGCTTTCACTCGCCAGTCTCCATGATAGTCCTGATGGGGCTGCGGTGTGTGATCTGAATACACAAAGCGGCTCAAATACAGGCGGGTGGCTGAGCAAACCGCCTACCCCTCCTGCAGCCTTTGCTCTGAGACAGGAAAGAGCATTCTGGGATAACCAGTTTCAGAGTTTGAGGGGAAGGGACAGGGCCATCTGAAATGAGGAAGGGAAAACTTTAGCCTTTCTGGGAGGGACAGTGCAGGGTGTACGGAGAATGGGCTCTGAAGTTATAACAATTTGGTTTAAAAATCCTTGTTCTACTGACATGTCCAAGAGGTGTTCCCAAACCATAAAATCTTTAAGGCTAAGAAGGTTGAATGAGAATCCGCGTGTAACATGTAGGATAGTGCCTGGTACAGAGCAGGCAGCGTTTGTCTAATTATAAAACTAAGTAAAACCTGCTTTCTACCAGAAAGGTCAAGATTAATGAGATGGGCCCTCCATGTTGACTTCCTTTCAAAAAAGAAAGGGATGCTGCTGGGAACTATCCTCTGAGCAACCTAAATAACCAACTCACCCAGAGTAAAGCACAAAAATCTACAGGTTGATAGAAGCTTGCACGCTTGATGTACCATCCCCCTTGGAGATCTACAGGAGGAGGATGGTGGCAACAGGGTAGCAAAAGAGGGGAGAAAGTGATCCAGATATCCCACAAGTCCATGCCTGCCCAGAGCATCCCAGGAACCTCCGGAGGACCAGAGTAGATGACGCGGCACCTTACGGTAATATCACACCTGCTGTTACTGGCTCTTGCAAATAGGAGTTCAATCTCACAGTTATTCATGTCTTCTATAAGCCTACTGTGCAAGGTATTCTGCCAAGGTAACTGAGAGGACTTCGATACTAACAAGGGAGCTGAACAGAAAAGAAACCGAGTATCCTGCAAGTTCTGTTTATGTGCTTAAAGAAAGGAGCGATTTCAGATCCTGCCTCAACTTTTAGTAAACTGATCAGCCAGCTTTACCCACATGGTCTTTGCAAAAGAACAAAAAGAGCTACTCTTACTTTCTACCAAGATAGATAAGCATTTTACCTATAGCATTTCAACAGCACCCTGAGGTGAGTGTCACTATCCCCATTTCACAGATTGGAAAATTGAGGCTTGAGAAATTAAGTAATCCACCTGGGGTCACACATTCAGTTGTGACGACAGGATTTGATGGCACAAACATGCCCTATGCTCTACTCATCGCGAATATCAGTCACTTGTCCTACTCCTTGTATGGACCACGATTTTCCTATCTTCAGAAGAAGATGAACTCGGGATTACTGGCGAACAAAGCTTTGAGAATGGCCACTGGTACGCATGGCATAGTGAAAGGTACGATGCTGCCTGCAGTGAACAAGCACTTGCAGTGACGGCGGGAGGTCCCAGCGCAAGCCCCGAGATGGCTTCTCCCTTGTTGCGTGATGTTGCACCCATCACGTATTGTCCAGAAGCCCAGTGTCCTCACCTATAAAGTGTGCCCCCTCATAGAATTGTCACAATCAGTGCAGTAATGTAGGTGAGTCGGCCTTCCTATTCCTAAGGCTCTAGGCCAATGCCAGCTATTATTATGATTCAATTAGCTTCAGTTCCACTGAGGATTTGCTCTTGAATCTTTGGAAAGATCTCCTGATACCTTAGCTTCCTCATCTGTAACCTAGAGTTGTCGATACAGAACCTTTTAGCAATTCCCTCCAATAGCCATTCACAAGCTTTAGTGACCTGTAATCTCTTGGGATGTTGTTAAAGCAGATTCCTGGGCCCCGGTGATTCTGATGCAGCCCAGCTGGATGGAACCGTGTACCATTCACGCTTGAGGACCCCACGTGATTCTAACGTAGACGGGTCATGATCACTCTGAAAAATGCTGCCCTGCAAGCTCAGTTTCACAAAGAACTGTGCTACCTGTGGGCAAAGAAATTGACCCAAGATCATCTGGTAACACAGCCAACACCAAACATTTGACTTCTGATGTCTAGATCCCATTGTTCTGACCACAGGAGGGGAACTCCAGAGAAGAGGAAAACCTCCTCCTGGTCACGAGGTTTCCATCAGGGGATTTGACCCTAGAGTACATCGCGGAAGCTTCCAGTACTCCACGGACCTAAAATATTGAGTGTCACTGCCTTTTTTTTCTTCCTCCACAGATACGTTTGCAAGCAAAGTGGCCGCCACCCAGGACCAGTACGCAGATGCATCCATAGGTAACGTCACTGGCAGCAACGCGGTGAACGTCTTCCTGGGAATCGGCGTGGCCTGGTCCATCGCTGCCATCTACCACGCAGCCAACGGGGAACAGTTCAAAGTGTCCCCTGGCACGCTAGCTTTCTCTGTCACTCTCTTCACCATTTTTGCTTTCATCAATGTGGGGGTGCTGCTGTATCGGCGAAGGCCGGAGATCGGAGGTGAGCTGGGTGGGCCCCGGACTGCCAAGCTCCTCACATCCTGCCTCTTCGTGCTCCTATGGCTCTTGTACATTTTCTTCTCCTCCCTGGAGGCCTACTGCCACATAAAAGGCTTCTAAAGGAACAATCAGATATAGTAAATTTATATATATATATACGTATATAAATATATACATAAAATATTATGTATAATGAACAGAGGAAACTGACATTTGTCATGTTCACTTACCTGCTGATGGAACCCAGCTTCAAGAGCATACTCTGTACTAGGGCGGAAGTGAGAAACCATCACCTCTTATTCCCAGGGGGCATCGCCACTTTGAACGAGGCACGGAGGCAGGGGCATCTTTGCAGCTCAGCCTAGAAGGACTGTGTTCTCTCCAGGTTCATAAATCATTAAGTCTTTGATTTGTTTTCTGTTTCCGCTTGTTTTTGGTGGGGGCTGGGAGGTGGCTGACGTTTGACTTTTATTTTGTATTATTTTGTTGGGAGGGTCAACGTTTCTGTTTCCCTTGCGGGAGGTGATGACCAATCTAAGTGCAAATGGGTTTTTGGTAAAAATTTAAATCGTTACAATTGCCCTCTCTTCCAAACACTTGACAAATTATTTGGGATTCAGAAAGGACATGGGCGCTGAAGAAGAGGCAGGTCTTCGCTCGATCACTAAATTTCGTGCTTCTCTCTGGGACATGAGCAGAGATAAAGCTGCCTCCAAGAAGAAGCATGGGCGCTTGAATGGAGCCAGGAGAAGTGAGGGCTCTAGATACAGTCTGACATTTAAAGATATGATGCCTGACAGTCTTGTTTAACAGGTACAGGAATAACGTGCCTAGATTCCCAAGAACGTGCAAAATCATTTACTTCTTATCTCTTCAGGTCTGGACTATGATTAGCAAGGCCCTTATTCTGATTTTCCAGCCTGGCTAACCCCCAGGTCCCCCATCCCAATCCTCCTCCTCCTGCCCACCATCTCTCAAGCAAACAGGAATAACCCCATTCAAAAAAGCACATCATCGTTTTCCATTTGCATCATGTGTGTCCCAGTCCCATGTTCGCTGTTGCCTGGGATCATTTGTCAGCTTTATTTTTGAAAGTATCCATGGCTTGCACAATCCTGTTCCAGTCATGACTGAACATTTGCTCCTTCTTCGTGTGCCTGTTGGGGAATGTTGTCGTGATACCTGTTACACAGTGCATGGATGAAAAACAAAATAAGCGTATCTGTATATAGTAGAGTATAGCGCATACTGTTCTCCCATTCAGCAACGTTGACTGGACATTGAAGATATAAGTGAGTCTCCTTTTCACCTGAGTTGTAACGTTTGTGTTGTGAGTTTGATTTTACTAGGGATAAAAGGAGAAAATGGCTTATTGTTCATGGACTTGCACATTCGTTTCTAAGAAGCAATAACAGTTCGTTGGGAAGTTAAAGCTACTGAGAGGACAGCAGGCAAACTACCAACTATCTTCATGGAAAATTAGCCACGTGGAATACACCAGAGGCCTCTAAAGAATCACCTCTTGATGATTCAGGAGGGCGAAGGAGAAAGGTGTAGAGCAGTGGCCAGATTCGATGTGCCCAGGCTTTGAGAGCCTCCACCTCCCTGACACCCACCCCTGCCCTGCCCCCAAAGTATTTATTTCACTTCTGCTCTGTCTGGGACAGATGGTAGATAGTGGTTTGTTCATTTTTTTTTTTTTAATGTAAAAGGCTATTTTGAGCCCTGTTACTTTCAACATCCAGACTCCTCTGATTGTACCTGCAGTTCCTGAGTAGGAATGAAGCCAGGGAGATGAATGGGCCTTTAAAAGTGCATCTTCTGTACTTGTGACTAAGGAGGAAGCAATTTAATGAGATTAGTGCCTCCCAGGAGGATTGCACTGGGAGGTTTTTAACCCTGGAAAAGGAATGGCTCTATTTTAGAATACCAAAGAGCATGGATAAACCCAACATTCCAAAGTAGTGAGTCTAGTAAGGAGGCAAAATGCAATGACTTTGGTCCTGTCTCAGAGACTTCTCTATAGAGCATCCCAGGCCAGAGACACCACTGGCCCTCTGTATCGATTCAAAGATACTTAAGAGATAAAAGCTGTTCAGAGTTACTTTCTCTTCTTCCACTCATTAATCATGATCACTCATCATTTCATAAACATCCAGTGACTGAATGAATAATTAAATGCTGGTTACTACTCAATATACCAGGTACTGTGCTACTCTTGGGGACTAAACCATGAACAAGACAGCCCAGATCCCTGCCCTCAGTGGGCTCACAGCTAATGTGATTGCTCTCTCGGTGGGTAAGTGATCACAGCCATATGAAAACAGTTTTATCTTGCAGGGAAAAAACAATTATAAAACTCTTAACATAAACACACTGAAACTGTACAAATACAATTGTCCAAATATCTAAGATTTTAACTTAAGAGATAAAGCACAGGTTAGGGGAAGCATCCTATGTATCCTTGGCCAATCTTGCAGATCTGTACATCTCCCCATTGTAAGCCAAGAAAGGCAATCATGTTGGTGATCGAGAGGACTGAACGGGTCCAATTAATCCCAGTTTTTATCTTTGTTGGACAACAGTACTTTTCTATGCCCCACACCTCTACTGTTCCTCATATCTCCAGGAGACTCACCCCAGCAGGCCGTGGTCCAAAACTGGTGGCCTCTTTTGGGGGCACATTCTAACCCATTTTTTTTTAAGATTTAGTAAATGGAAAGCTAGCCTAGAAACACCAAGTAAATATAGTCAAAGGACATGAGTTGTTTAAATATTAGATTTTTGCACTCAATTTTAGCCATATTTGGAACGTCAATAATCCCGCAGATTTTCACAGAGGACTTTCAGAAATTCTTGCCACTGAATTTTAATTTCAAAGCTTTTTGGTTTGTTTGCTTTTTAAAGTTTCATGTTATAGGGAAAATATGATTCTGATTGTTCAGGGTTGTTAATAATTGTAGTTGTGTAAAATTTCATTTTATTTTGTGTGTATTGTGCACAGCTTTAGGGGGGAAGTGCACTAATTGTGCTGTTCCTTATAAATGGTACACGTTATTGGCACAAATAAAGTTTCTAATTGTTTCTGACTTAATCACTAGTGATACAGCATATTCTGTATGGAATGTTTTCTCTCATTGTCATCTACTTCATTTTTGTTTTCATGTTTTGAAGAAATAAAGACCAAAAAGGTATTATTGTGCAATTGGTATCCTCATCCAAAAGACAATAGATACCCAGTATTCAGACTCTTGCAAATGTCAACCCTTTGGTCATATAGTATTTCCTTTTTAATGTCCCAAGAGAGCACAGTGTCAGAATATGTATCTATCTGATGGTACGGAGATAAATGTTGGATGTTTCTCCATTTCACTAATTTTTTTACATCTTTTAGCACCCTTTATCTGCCTCCTTTCTGCATCCAAGAACATTAACCCATAAACAGTTACACATCCAACCACTTGTTAGAATATTGTAGCTAATAAATCAGTTCTGATAAAACTGGTCCAAGCGATAGTCTTCTGGTATCGATATATTATATTCCTCTTGATCCCTAATAGAACTTCCTTGCATTAATTTCTGACTAATTACATGCTAGTGACTTTATGTGTCATACAATCAATAATATAGGAAGAGGTGACACCAGAAATAAGCATTTGCAGGGGGAAAAACGTGACCTCTAGTTTGTACTTATTTGCAAGCCCACATAAATTATCAGTGGATTTAGTTCTTACAATAGAATCCACTGTGTTCATGTAAATGATATTCATCTGATAGTCTTTCAAATTTGCTTTAGAATTCCTCATTATGTCCGTATATAATGTGGCACACTTTCACATGTGAAGGAAATAAGGTATAATTTAAGTATTTTCTTGGATCAGCAATTAATGTCTCCCAGTTACCAATCTTTGGTATAACACAAAATGAGCAGCCGATATTTATTTCTTTAAATAACAAAGAGTAATTCAATGACCAGAGTAGTCTTGACTGTTTACCCTTCAAGGAAATGCCTTGGCTCAATGCTTCTCAACCTCTTAGAAGATAATTTTCTTTCAAACATGATTCAAGCCTACCACCAGTAAAGATTTGAGAGCTTTGCTTTCTATATAGCACACACATTTTCTTCTTTTCAAAGAAAAAATTATAAAATTTGCTCTTTTAAACCACCTTGCAGGCATTCTGATAGGTGGATCTCATTTGCAATGAGAATCCCTAACACAGCATCTTTCCCCCAGTGGTCTCAGTTAAAAGAAGCACATTGCCTTTTCCACACAGGGAAATTCATTGTTGATTCCACAACCCAGGAACCCTGATACTGATCTGTCAATCTGACTGGTCTGTTCTACGCATATCTGAGAACTTTGTGGAAGGAATTAGAAAAAAATTTCCTCCGGTAGATGATGAAGCCCTCCATTCTCAAACACTGTCAAAACTTTACCTCCTCAAGAATATAAGTCAGCCCCTTTAAGGCTTCTTCTAAAAAGCATTTCCTGGCTCATGATGTTGAGTGTCTCTTTTGATTCTGCTTTTCTGTCTCTGATCTTGGGCAGTTGCATTCAGAGCAAGTTTTGCATCTAGTTTCATAACTATATAATGGCCATTTCGTGATTGACAATGCACCACCTTAGATCTCATCCAGACCTACACCTGGCATTCACAGCTTTTGTTACAGTAATCACTTGAAAGCATTCTAGCTATGGGCAAAATTGAGCATTTTAATGGATAAACAAGTGAGTGCACTAGGCAGAAGAGCTTTACACAATCATATTTTTCTTAAAAAGATGCTGTTATGAGTGCATGTATTAGCTTTCCTTCAGATCTACCTACAGATTTTTGTTAATGGACGGCACTTTTACTCTTCTTTTCAATATTATGTTCCTATCACTTCTAGCCATGTTCATGGTCTTCCACCCAGCACATTTAAAGTGTTGTGTGGTCCAAATGGTATTCCACCTACAAGGATGACAAAGGAAGGGGAAACAATTCCAACAGTTAGATATTTCATTTTTGGAGCTTAATCAGGCCATGGTTAATCATCTCCCAAGGCAGAGATGTCTTACCTATAGAAGGAACAACCACTGAGCGTTGGGTCTCCCAAGAGAGAGAGCACTTAAGCTTTCCAGCCCACAA